TCTACATTTTCCTCTTCATTTATTTCTTCTACATGTTTTTTCAACCTTTAGTCTGATTTACTTCTTTTCTGCCGTAGGGTGCAGCTGGTCAGCCTGGTGCTAAAGGCGAGCGTGGGCCGAAAGGACCTAAGGGTGAAACTGGGCCAACAGGTGCTATTGGTCCCATTGGTGCTTCTGGACCACCTGTAAGTGAACTGTGTCTGTCTGTAAAACACGTGGTTCTTACCTGTGCTCTGCAAGCAGTATTCATGGCTGAAGGCCATGAATTTTGAAAAGATAATTAGAAAGAAAACAAGACTTCAAAGTTGGTCGTGAGGAAAGTTATCATTCTGAATTTCACACATTATATAGATACAGGCTATTTATATGGGCTCAGATCATGAGCCTGGGACTGAAATGAAGATTTAAAAATAAGTATTTTTTGACTTGCTTTGAATATCAGCAAGATCAGGCTATCTTGGACTATCCAGGGCATGTTTGTGAGTAAGTTCCTGAGCTGAGGACACTAATATCTTCCTTTTAAACGGAATGTGCTGTCACAGATGCAATCAGATGCAATCTTCCAGAACCAATAGGTGCAAATTTGTCTGTGCACCCACTTGCACACAGGCCTTTCATGTCGTGATGCCTTAGCAAAATCAGGTGCAGTACTTCATGTGCATGCAGTCCCTTATGGGAAACCAGTTGAAGTGATGCAGAAAGGAATGCCCTAGTGCTTCAGCTACTGTGAAGTGTTGCAGGATGACACAGCTTAGGGATCATACTGAGTGATTTGGACAGAGCAGTACTAGGCTTTGGTACTCTTTGGTTGCAATAGCCATAGAGCGCAGAAGACTTGCTCTTCTTTAAATTGCTGAGCCTTTCATGTTTTGACTCCTGAATCTGCTTAGGGTGCTGCACCATATGCAAGGCCAGTTCATTTGGATGATGGATACATCATGCAACTCTTCTCAGCCTGCCTCATACTGACTCAAAATGTCCATAACAATTTATTAGTGCTAGTATCAGAATTGAGTTCCACTCCCCAATTAAATCAATAACAAAGTAGCCCTTCTGCTTCTCAAAATGGAAGCTGGGCCCTTTCTCTAAATAGTGAACATTGCTTCATGTTCTTTGCTTCATTCATCATGTCTCTTACCGCCTTTCCCACACAGGGTCCCGCTGGTGCTGCTGGTCCTGCTGGTCCTCGTGGTGATTCTGGTCCTCCTGTAAGTCTTAAGGCTTTTGGCATTGACGTTGCTGCTTTACATAAAGTCACTGTTTCCTTTAAACCAGATTTTCATTTTGACTTTCATTTGTAGGGCATGACTGGTTTCCCTGGTGCTGCTGGACGGGTTGGTCCTCCTGGCCCTGCCGTAAGTAGCTGATGAAGGAATTTCATTGGGAGACCRGTCAGAAATTGCACTGCTTAGGGATAGTCCTTATCTTGTTACATGGACCCCACTTGGACACATCCTGTGTAACATGCTCTGGGTGACCCTGCATGTGCAGGGAGGTTGGATGATCTCTAGATGAGCTCTAAAGGTCCCTTCCAACCTTAATGATTCTGTGATTCTGTGAGCCATTTGACAAAGGTTGTCAAAGTTATTTTGTGCTTTTGCTTTCAAAAGTATCTGCAGTTTCAGCCCCTGTCAAGCAGGGCTACCTCTCCTCACATTCAAGAACATGAGCCCCCACTTCTTTATTTATCCTCCAAAGACTCTCATTTCAAATTGAGTTTATAGTTCAATGACTCATGTAAAGCTGAATTATTTTTCAAAAGGTGTTTACATCACTTGGGAAGAAAAGACACTTTCCTTAGATGTCCTACATTTAAATAGATTGCAAGTACCAATATACCTTCTAAACAACAAAACAAATCAAAATAATCCTGCTGAACACGAAATTTTTTTTCTCATTAACTTTATAGTTACTGCTAATATGTCCAGAGCCAAAATTATATTTTTATGTCAATTTTTGCTACTTGTACTTGCACTGATTACAGATATCCATTACTAATTAAGCCATAGAAATTGCTGCTGGAAATGCCCGACATCCTCTTTATTGTAAAGTCCCATTTTTTGTCCATGGACGAAACAGGAAGCTTACCTCTCTGGCACAAAATAGTGGGTGTGTGCTGGAATGACGCTGCATTTATATTCAATCCTAGGGTATCACTGGTCCCCCTGGTCCTCCTGGCCCAGCTGGCAAAGATGGTGCTAGAGGCCTCCGTGGTGATGTTGGCCCAGTTGGCCGTACTGGTGAACAAGGCATTGCTGGCCCACCTGGTTTTGCTGGTGAGAAAGGTCCATCTGGAGARGCTGGTGCTGCTGTAAGTTACTCAGTGTCTCTTCTCATTAAAAGTATGATTGTCCATGTAAATGTTACAGCTTCTAGGACRCTTCTGCTATCTATGAAGGACTTTGCTCTTTTATCCTCAAATTTAGMAAAGCTCTTGTACAGCTAGTACAGCAGACTGTACTCAAGAAATTGTTTAGACATGTTTGGCAAACAGCTCATGAAAAGTGAGCCTGGTCACTTTTTCTCTTATGCTGAAGCTCTGTGATTAAGCACCGTGGGTGGAAACTGGAGAAACTTGAGAAGTTTCTCAAAGTCCTTTCCGTATCAGAAATTCTAGTTTGGGGGATCACATGGATAGAGAGATTAAAGAGCCAAGGTGGCTTAGAACTACAAAAATTAATTACAAGTGCCTTTAAACTTGCACATCCAGAATTATTGGCTTCTTTGAAGTCAGACACATTTCAGTATTGAGCAAGTAGGCACTTGTGTGAATTATTATTTGTGTGTTTCTCAATGGAAATTTACAGAAATTCTCTGATCTGCAGAAACTGCAGCTAAGAATGAAATCCTCAGTTTCTAGGAGACATTTGAACCTTTGCCCTTTGAGTATAAAGCAGTACATTTTCTAATTTCATAGAGTGATTAAAGCATAAGTGTATTAGGCAGCCCAATTGTAAATTGKTTATTTTAGGGTAAGCTGTCAAGTTGATCAATTATGCCCAGTTTAGTAGCCTGCATGCTCACAATTCAGAGCAGCTGAAAAGCTCTTCCTTCACTAAACTGAATCTCCCTTTCATAGTGTCAGCAAAGGTCAGAGTATCTTTTTTAAAATGTCAGATATCACTTAGATATCTTCTAAGGCTATCTCAGAATGAGAAGGTCAGTTTCTATACTATAGAATACCCTCAAATAGGCTCATTTCTGAATTGTAGTTTTTGTGCATCACCTTGTCATTAAAAAGGAATGATACATTAAGAGATCTTTGCTATAAATTAAAGAAAAGAGTACAGTGTCTTTTTCACATACACTATTTTTCAATGGAAAACATGTGGACAGGAAATACAACCAGCATTACCTGCTTAGAGATCTTCAGCTTTGGTGTTTGGTATTTCATAAGACTTAAGTATAAATTTCTTGCATGTGAGAACTGGAACTCACAGACAGTAAGATCCTTGAAATGCAATTGGTTCTGCTACAGAGCAGTGCAAATTACAGTTGTGGAGGGCTATAAATGACTCGTCTGTATTARTAAAGACTCTTGTCATTATGTCATAGGGTCCTCCTGGAACCCCAGGTCCYCAGGGTATTCTTGGTGCTCCTGGTATCCTTGGTCTGCCCGGCTCTCGGGGCGAGCGTGGTCTCCCAGGCATCGCTGGAGCAACAGTGAGTATCTAACGTTGCTTGTCTTCTTCAGAGAGGCCTGTGTAAAGGAAAAAGCTCAGGAACATGGGATCTAGATTCTGCCATCTCCATCTCTGGTGCAGAAAAAGGTTAGCTATATGAGCGCAACAGAGCAGTGGAAGAAGTTATTGCTTGTGGAGACAAACAAGACTTGTAGCTGAGCCTAGGCTCTAAGCATGCCTTTCTGAGCTCTGGACTTCATCTGTTCTAAAACATAGCACAAGCAATATGAACTTAGAATGGCACCAGAGATTTTTGGGTTTAGCATGTAGAAAGAAGAGGTAGAAAATGTAGTGAAGATTACTGTTTTGTGTAGTTACATAGGTTTCTCCTTCTCTTGTTCTATTTCACTCCCAGGACTGACTGCAGAGAAATGTTTCTCTTGTGTATAGGCCAAAAGATTCTGTAAGTTGGATTGATGTTGTATTGTATCTCACATTTTGCTACCACTGTCCACATATTAGGGTGAACCTGGACCCCTGGGTGTTTCTGGTCCTCCTGGTGCTCGTGGTCCCTCTGGTCCCGTGGGTTCTCCTGGTCCAAATGGCGCTCCTGGTGAAGCTGGTCGTGACGTAAGCTGTGGTTTATTTCCTCTTGAGAGCTGCTTTGCTTTTGTTCTGAACCAAAGACAAATACACAGAGAGCCGGGATGCAACTGTGGGCAGTTCTGCTGACAAACTTGTACCTGTGGTGCCCTCAGAGAAAATTATAACAGGGTGCTAACACACACAGATCCTCGATTTGCAGGGCCTAAAGCAGAGCAGTGGACCTGATCACCATAAACTGAATTTGTCACCCTGCTTGGTGACAAATTCTTCAAGGCAGAAATGGTGTCTGAAATGTGTCCTAGAGTCACTTTCTACTTAATTGACAARAAAGATGGAGTGTGAGAAAACATAATTCATGAGCAGAGCTAGGAAAAACACTACATGCCAGGAGTTAAGGTTTTATCTAGAGAAAAAAAAATGTTAGAGGAGCCAGATTTCAGCAGTTTTGAACATCATATTAGGTGCAATATGCATATTTTTCAGTGAAGCACATAAACTGCACTCACTTTCTCTTGAGGGATATAACTCATAGTAATAAAGGTGTTTTTTAACTTAAAGTCTCTCAAAACACATATGAAGCACATGATAAGTATGGAATTCARGTAGTGAATTCATGTAGCATGGCACATCTTGGAGTCCTAGCAGAGCATTGCTATGCTCACATAGCAGGTGAGCTGTGTAGCATTTCTCAGCATACATTCTATAAAGTATGTTTGTAGGCTAAAAAATAATGAATCAAAGTCTGTCTTGTGTAGCAGGTAGCTACTGTGAGCCATGCAGGTCAATGAGAGTAAAAACAGAATAAAGGAACTATGCCCTGTGCATAAGAATGGGGCATGGAATTTGAGCAAACTGCTGCCCCTAATGCCTTGCCTCTGCTTTTAGTTATTTGGAGGAGAGAGCCCTGCTCTCGCTTCTTCCTCATCAATTTTGGCAACCGCAGCTGAGTAATTCAGCTGTGACTCCTGTCTGAAATCCTTGCAGGCAAGGATTGAAGAAGTTCATGAAGAAGCATTGTATGACAGTAATTTTCTTCCRTATTGATCTTGTAGAACCTAAAATATTTGAGTATTTTACTTTTTCTGAAAACAGTAACATATTCAAGGAATATAAGAATAGCATCTGTAGGGAAAAGTCAAGATTTATGCTATCTCATCTCACTGCTGTCTTACTCTCATTTGAAGCAATTAGGCTGACACACAGCTCTGTCTGAGATGAAGGTGATGGAATTCAATATCCTAATTGTATTTTAACAGGGCAATCCTGGAAATGATGGTCCTCCAGGCCGGGATGGTGCTCCTGGCTTCAAGGTAACTTGCTCTTTTCTTTATTGCTTGCTCATGGGAGAACTGTTCCAGTCTGTGTAAGTCAGTAGTAACACACTGTCTCTCCTCTTGCATTTGTTTGCTCCCAGGGTGAGCGTGGTGCTCCTGGTAGCCCTGGTCCCAGCGGTGCTCTGGGCGCTCCTGGTCCTCATGGTCAAGTTGGTCCTTCTGGAAAGCCTGGAAACCGTGGTGACCCTGTAAGTTCATGAGATCTTATTTTTTTGCGTGCTCTAAGACAAAACATTTTCTATCATATATCTATTTATTTATCTTTATCTATTATATATGCATTATAAGTAAACCCACTGTACTGTGTGGATAATTSTTTTGCTTTCTGCAGAGGTKTGTAGACACGGGCCACTTCATGTATGTGATACAGCAATGACCTGCATTTCTCTCTGCCTGTTTCAGGGTCCTGTTGGTGCTGTCGGTCCTGCTGGTGCTTTTGGTCCAAGAGGACTTGCTGTAAGTCTGATTTGTCCATACATTACCCTGCTGATCCTTTAAGAGAACACAGCCTTTATTACTAAGGGTMTACAACTGTGCTTAAGATATGGACCCAAAAGGTAGTACCTAAGGGGTGTTAAATATTTATAGATCTAGAACCTGAATCAGGATTCTTCTCATGGGACCAATCCTGAAGCTTTTCAGTACTGACATTCTTCCCATGTGTGTTGAAGGAAAATATATGCATATATCAGGAGCAACTTTTTGCCTAATGTAGAATAGTAGTTTTTAYAGTAACATCTATTTGACACTTTCTGTTTTATTCTGTTAATACCTTTGTCCCTTTCCTAGGGCCCTCAAGGTCCACGTGGTGAGAAGGGTGAACCTGGAGATAAGGGACATAGAGGTCTGCCTGGCTTGAAGGGACACAATGGATTGCAGGGCCTTCCTGGCCTCGCTGTAAGTAAATGACTTTCAGGATTTTGAGTATAAAGAACAAAACAAGGAAATAAGGTCACCCTAGTGTGGAGATACATATGCACTACCCGTCAGGATGGTATCACTAACTTTATTAGCATCATCTTTTGAAGGCCATCAGATCCAGTTTAATACTCAGCATTCTCCACAAAAAATGGCAAATTGATCTTGCTGTTGATAGTTGGCTTTAGAAGTGTGTCAGTACCTTTGCATGCCCTGCAACTCCGTGTCATTTGGTCATCAGTGCATTCAAAAAGTTCAACCTTTCTTACATACGATTGCTTATTTTAGGCAGAACACTGTAGGGTTTTTGTATTACAGAGAAGCAGAAGTCATTTGTGGATTTTCTTCCCTTTAATTTCTGATATTCCCGTTAGGAATTCTGATTCTTGCTTTAAAACCTTCACTGAAAATCTGGAGAGACTTACAGAGACTTCTATAGGTTATCCCATTAGGTATCTCTTTACACTCCTTCCATATGCACCCCAAAACAGACTTGTTAAATCCCATTTCCACTAATAAACTAGGCTAATCCCAGATTCCCATTCTCAAATACACTCAACTGTAGCCACCTCTTGAAGCATGCTGAAAGAAATGTGTAGCACTGTTTTGGGTTTTTTGATGACTATATGTTTTTTTTCCCAACAGGGCCAACATGGTGATCAAGGTCCTCCTGGTAACAACGGTCCTGCTGGCCCAAGAGTAAGTGAATTTAAAAGCATATTCAAATAACCCCTTCCTATTTTTATTGTAGAATATGTATCTATACACCTATTTATGTAAATCCCTATTTGCAGCATTCTCTACTATCATTAAACTGTTCAAGTTTCCTTTTAGGGTCCACCTGGTCCTTCTGGTCCTCCTGGCAAAGACGGTCGCAATGGTCTCCCTGGTCCTATTGGCCCTGCTGGTGTACGTGGCTCTCATGGTAGCCAAGGCCCTGCTGTGAGTATCGCTCTCTTTTTGGTGAAACACAGCTAGGTCAAGGATAGAAGAAAGCTGCCTCAAGAGCTTAGTAATTTAAGGAAAGACTTATTGGAATATCCTTATTTAAAAAAAAAAACAAAAACAAAAAACCAAAAAACAGAAACAAAGACATACACATATTAAAGTATGTTATTTAACATTAAACATAATTATTATATCTATTTTTAATGTGTATTTATAATTAAAATATGTAGGTCCTASGGGATCTAAACCTGAAAAGTGCAAAGCAGTCACCCCATGGCGGGTCTGGATCCATAGGTGCTTCTCAGGTTCAGAGCGGAGGGTGCTAGGACTTCATGAACACTATGCATTTGTGGATGATGTTAACGGAGATAACCATGTTTACAGCAGGATGTTTCCTTTTTTGCTTCTGAACAACTTTAGGGTCCCCCTGGTCCTCCTGGTCCCCCTGGTCCTCCTGGTCCCAATGGTGGTGGATACGAAGTTGGCTACGATGCAGAATACTTCCGGGCTGATCAGCCTTCTCTCAGGCCCAAGGATTACGAAGTCGATGCCACTCTGAAAACACTGAACAACCAAATTGAGACCCTCCTGACCCCCGAGGGCTCCAGAAAGAACCCAGCTCGCACGTGCCGGGACCTAAGACTCAGCCACCCAGAATGGAGCAGCGGTACGTTGGCGCCTCCTCTCTGACCCTTCCAGCTCAAGTACTTCCATTTTTTTTTAACTTTCTTTGATGTATCCTTGGCCAACCAGGGAAAATGCTAAATTAAGGAAGTAGTTCTGTCTGGCTCCACTGAAAGTAGATGCGTACAAGGACATTCTGAAAAGCTGTTCGTAGCTATTGATCTATTGTGCTTATTGCACTAATTTTTTCAAAATAATGCAGTAATATTTAATCCTAGCTTTCAAGTATTTGTTACATATTAATAACCAAAGCCACATATTTTGCCAAATTATCGACTTAATATTGTACCTTTTTCTGATATTTATAACCTCTGAGTTCCTATATCAAGCTGCTAAATATAAAATGAATGCAAATGTGAGACTGAATGAACCATTGTTCGTGTTTCTTTCCTCCATGGCAGGTTTCTACTGGATTGATCCCAACCAGGGCTGCACTGCAGATGCCATAAGGGCATACTGTGACTTTTCCACTGGTGAGACTTGCATCCATGCTAACCCTGACAATATTCCTGCCAAGAACTGGTATGTCAACAAGAATCCCAAGAACAAGAAGCACGTCTGGTTTGGTGAAACCATCAATGGTGGCACTCAGGTGAGTGATGTACTGGAGGATGGTTGGTTTCCTGCAGAGTTGTCTAAAGAACTCCTCACCCACTGACCCTTAACACACGTACACATAATTTAAGCTCACTTCTAGAGAAGAAGTTTGAAGAGAGGAACAGCCTTTTACCTTGAGAGAATGCGGTCTCAGTTCTGACTTGGATCACGATTTCCTAAAAAGATTTCTCAGCGTTGTTCTGACTTTTTATGGTGTCCACAGATATCACTTGTGCATGATTAATGGCTTCTCCTAAGGGAAGGGAGCATGGTACCTCAGTTTAAATACAGTTCAGGAACTATCTGAAAGAGTAAACTAAACATCTTTGCTTTTTTTTTTTTTTTTTTTAAATTGAGATTTACTTTCATTTCCAGAAAGATATTTGTATTACAAAAACAAAACAGACCCAAAGTTTATGCCACCTTAGCACTCTCTATGAAGAGAACCACCACTTTTCATAGTGTCATTTGTCTTCAGTCACAATTGACAATTGTGCCCAGATTTCTATGCTTGTTTTCTTGTTTTCGTTTTGTCTTGTTTTTTATGTTCCTAGAGCACGTACATACCTCAAGTTTCCATTCCAAACATCCTCCGTGTCCCATATACAGATCTGACTGGTTTTCTTTCTGTGTTTCAGTTTGAATACAACGATGAGGGAGTGACCTCAAAGGATATGGCCACCCAACTGGCCTTCATGCGCCTGCTGGCCAACCACGCCTCCCAGAACATCACCTACCACTGCAAGAACAGCATTGCCTACATGGATGAGGAAACTGGAAACCTTAAGAAGGCCGTTATCCTGCAGGGATCCAACGATGTGGAACTACGAGCTGAGGGCAACAGCAGATTCACCTTCAGTGTTCTTGTGGATGGCTGCTCTGTAAGTAGCACAAAAAAATACAGATATCGTAACTGAGTTGCACTTTGATACTGAACTAGATAATCAGTCTCTCCAGCAAAATTGCAGGATTGTGGCTCAGGATCCTTAAATCCTGAGCAACTCAGGCTCTCTGAGGCCTTTCCAAGGATTTAATAGCAGTATGTATAATACAGTAGTTAATGCAGAACATAAAGCATTATTTTAGAAGATTAAAGCAAATGTTTTCTTTGGTTCCAAGATTTAAATAGTTAGGCATGGATATTTAGGCATTGCTAATAGCAGTAAAATTAATATGATTTTTTTCCAGAAGTTATCCAGTTATCTGAAATAATTCTCAATGCTATGAACAGTGCAATAACAATTCTAATGAATTTTCTCTTGCAGAGAAAGAACAATGCATGGGGCAAAACCATCATTGAATACAGAACAAATAAGCCATCTCGCTTGCCCATCCTTGACATTGCACCTTTGGACATTGGTGGCGCTGACCAAGAATTCGGTTTGGACATTGGCCCAGTCTGTTTCAAATAAATGAACTAAAACTAACTTAAAGCCCCCTCAAAATTATTCTCTTTGTCATTTCCTTTTGTAATGAAAGCTGACTCCTTCCACTTCTTCTGTTCATCTACTTGCTTAAACTCTGGGCGAAAGAGAAGGAGAAGAGTTGATTGGAGTATTGTGCAATGAAATTTAACGCAGCCCCAAAAGGACTTGGAAGTCTCTCAAGATTTAACACCTTGCTTTGGGAAATGTCAACCTTTGTAAAGAAAAAAAAAAAAAAAACAAAATAAAAAATCATGAAAGTTTGCACCACTTGTGGCCTTTGAATATCTCCAACAGAGGAAGTTTAAAACCACAGCTTCCAAAGGTTTAAACTACCTCATACACTAAACAAGTGTGATCCACATCCTTTGCATGTACTTCTTCATATGATCTGAAGTACACTCAGTTCCACTTAAAATACAGTGGTGCTAATTTCACTGTTACARATTATCTTTCCAGTACTTGAACTTTGATGGTGCTAGCAGCAGTTACTATACAGCTCCTCTGTATCTTTGGAATCTGTTTCAAAACTTAGAATGTCCTGTCTCATCCCCAGCTTAAGCATGTGGATCACTTCTCTTCATCTTTGTCCTCTTCCTTCAAAGTCAGGTCTTCCTGCTTTACATCTCATTTTCATCCTCTTCAATGGGTAAAAAAAAAAGGAGAAAAAAAAAGAAAAAAAAAAGAAAAAGTATTGCCATTCCTCAAAAACAAGAAATAAAAATGTATTTTGTATATGTGAGATGTTTAAATAAATTGTGGAAAAAAAAAATAAAGCATGTCCAGTGTTCCAAAAGAGGCTACTGAATGAGTAAAGTTACTTGCTTAGTTACATGGTAGCTATTCCTCCTCAGTATTTGTATGAACTATCTAGTCTCTAAAAGCTARACTAGGGCAAGATGTAACAGCACTGCATTTTCTCTGGATGTGTCCAGGTGTATACTTTGCTGTTTGGAATTCTTTTAACACCCCACACATGCAAATAACTGCTTTAAAYGCCTTTGACAATTTTAAAAGTGATAAAATGGACTATTATGTTTCTGAATGCCATTTACCCTACATCTACATTATTACAACTCAGTCTTAGCCCCTTGTGAAACATCTACTGGGAGCACCCCAAGGCTGCGTGAGACTGTTTATGGCTGRGGTTGACTAAGTGACTCTTCATTTCAACATCACCTTTGAAAAGGTCACAAGAGAGTCACACTATGAGAATTTCAATAATGGACATAATTTCTTCCTTGTTTCCCATATGCCAGTTGGGAATTTTGGTCAAAACAGCATCATCTTTATTCAAGGTAGCAGGGAAATTGGACTACTCCCGAGAGCTGAAAGGCAGAAGGTGCAAGGTGCTCGGTGTTCTGAGGTGTGCWGGCTGATGCTCACATCACAGTCAGCAGGATTGTGCCTCTGCTTTGGAAGTTACCTCCAGAAGTCACTGTGAGATATCTCTAAATTCAGGCRTCCCAACAAGAAGATCAGCCCTTGTTAGGCCCCTTACACTTCAGTCAGTCCTATATGAGATACAAAACTCTCTGCTCTTTCTAACCTTTGGGAACAACTGTAAAAAGCACCATGAGAACCCAAGCTGTGCCCAGCTCAGGCCTTTCAAGGTGCTTCCAAGTGCTTTCCTGAAAGCCTCAAGATGAACTGCCATTCCAGCAGTGGTGTGGGGAACGGGGAAGGAATTTGGGAGGCAGTGGTGGGAAAMCTTAAGGAACATGAGAACAACAGCAAGAGGAAATAAGGGGAAAAGGAATATAGGCTTATCAGGAACTCACGTAGGGAAGCACAACAAAGATGTCCAGAAGCAGATCCTTGTGACCCGAAGAAAGCAGCACCCCAAAGGCTGGAAGGCTACTTCAGCTGCYGCGAGTCCGAAGGGAGCTGTGACCATGCAAGGAGGTTATTGCTAGGATTAAGAGCTGGACTGCTGCTGAGCACTGTTGAGGGGAGAAGAAGAAAAGAGTTAAAGTTAGGGTTTGGAAGGAAGCTACAATGTTCTCCCTCCTGTCACCATCTCATTTCTCCTTTACTCTCTGTGATCTATCTAGCACTCCCTRCTAGGCAGAGAACATTTGCATTTTATCAGTCCTTTGCTGAACTCCAAATTAAAACCTTATTCTGTGATTTTGCACCTGAGCTACAAAAGTGGTCTCACTGGAAATCAAGTCAGGAAATAATACAAATCACCCCCCTCATCACCGCCCTCAGTATCCAGAAGAGACTTCGGCCTAAAGGTTTTGTGCTCAGGAAATCTTACTGCACAATTAAGTATTTTATTTGTGTTATATGCAATACTGAAGAAATTGTCTTATCTTTCAAAACGCTATCTGAAAATAAGATGAAGTAAAATAAATTTAAATTAAAATAAAGTAAAATGAAATAAAATTGATAAAATAAAATAAAATAAAATAAAATAAAATAAAATAAAATAAAATAAAATAAACTGCAAGCAGCTCAGGAAGCTTTTATAATATCCAACATCAGGTGTGTAAGAGATTTCTGATGAAGTGAACCAGCATCCTCAGAAGTTGCTGCCTCCCTGCCCGGATTACCTCTGGTGGAGGTAACTGTCCATGAGCAGGTGTGCACCAGCAGCAACGCAACAGGGCAGACCTCTGYTAGCATAAATTACATGAAACAGCAGGGTTCAAACAAATACACAGGCTTTCAGAGCAACACAGAAACCTGGGAGGAAGGCAACCTGTAGGAACTGGAGCTTGGAATGCACACAGTGCTCAGCCGTGACATGGCTGTGCAAATGAAGATACGCAGGGATTCGGACCAATCGTTTCCCTTTCTCATCCACTGTGGGCTGTATCACCCATCGTGTGTTCAGTGAATGTGTCCTGTTTATCATCAGAACTTACCCTCCTGGCTCCGGGGCCTCCCATTTCAGCAGGCTCTCCAAAATAGGCACCTTTGCCTGAGCTTGGCATTAGCAGATGAAAACTGGAGATGATGACGCAAGATCAGCTAATGCAGAGGGAAAAAAAAAAGAATAAAAAAGAAATTTCAAAACCTACAAAGGGATTGYAGAAAGACAAGTGTTCATTCACACAAGTTTAACACCTGTACTGCATGAGCAAAGCCTTCTTTRCATGATCCCAGGTTTAAGTATACTCTCCAAGTACTCATAAAATGACAGTGCTCATTAACTCCAAGCACCCGAAGAAAGAATTACAACACTTAATATCCTTTTGAGTACAGGATTTTGAAATACATATAATTCAGTAATTATTTCAGTGTCGACACCAGTTTAGAAACATGTATAAATCTTACCTTCTCTTGGAGCTTTCAAGCTACAGAAATGGAGTAGTTTTCCCAAATGCAGATTTTGAAGGTCGGTAGTGGAACAGAAACAGCAGTTCTAGCCCGTTTCCTCAAGCCTAGCACACCACCTATTGATGTAGACAGTAATTGCCAGCCTATGAAGAATAATTTTGTAGCTTTTCCTTATTCAAGGAGCTGTCTTTGTCATGGCCAATATTCCAACTCTTTCATGATAACACATCTGCTTCAGTGTTTATGAGGTGTTTGATATGTGCAATCTCTGCACTGCATTGCATGGTAGGAGCTCAGAACGTGCTTCCTCCAGGCTGTGGAATCAGAGGAAGGAAGAGTTTGGCCCTTGACTATTTACAAGGCCATGCAAAACCAAAATCTCTTATTTCTATCATCATGTATCCCTTCTTTTTTTTTTGCCAAAGGGAAAGTACTTCTCACTTCCAAAAGCAAGAAAGGGATCCTCAGTCCCAACTGCAGTCCTGCAAAAACACCAGTGTCAAACACCAATGACTATTTTTCCTCAGCCTGCTCAAAGTCTACTTGAAAAGCCTCCTTCTAGATAATAATTAGATAATAATAATTAGATAATATAATAATAAATAAATAATAATTAGATA